AAAAAAAAGCCATCACCCCCAGAAATTGTTTTTTTTTTGAGGGGGTGGCTCTGGGGTTGTGCAGCCCCAATCCACCTCCCGAACCCCCGCCCCCCACCCCCACTGGCCGCCACGTGGCCGCGAAGTTGCACGGCCTCAGTGGGGGATTCGTAGCCCTCCCCTGCCGTCCTCCTTGTGATATCTCAGAGTGACTGTGGTAATGCATGTGTGTTTGGGATGTTATAGTATAACAGGATGGAAAACATATTCACAACAGGTGCATTAAAATAAGGTCCAAAATATTGTCATAAGAAAGCCACCCAGAAAGCAGAAAGGTACAGACTGTTTCATCGTACTTTCACCACACATTGGGAGGCTAACAGCAGTTGAACCCTCTCAATGATGGGTTGATGGTTTCGGGGTTGGTTAAGAAAAAAAGAGAAAGAAAAATGATTGATTGATTGTTGATTGATTGAATCAAAACAAAAAAATAGGGCATGCCGTTCTGTGTGTGTGTGTGTGTGTGTGTGTGTGTGTGTGTGTGTGTGTGTGTGTGTGTGTATGTATGTGTGGGAGTGAGTGCGTGCGTGTGTGTGTTTTTCTGTGTTGCATTTCGCAATACACTCAGAAAAAGCATGACTGTGCCAAACTGTTTCATCGGACTTTCACCGACTCATCAGGAGGTTGAGCCCTGACAGTCTGCCTAGGATGCATTTGACTGATGGATAAGAACTTACCCATGTCGATCAGAGTTAGCGATATCCCTGAAAGAGAAAGTGGTTGACTTTACTACCAACCTTGTGTGTGTGTGTGTGTGTGTGTGTGTGTGTGTGTGCGTGTGTGTGTGTGTGTGTGTATTTGCAAGTGTGTGCGGATTCAATATATACCATGGTGTACTCACCATGCACCCCATGGAAACCATGGTACACTTTAACCCTGCGCAACCAAACTAACGCTGTATGTTGCCACTCTACTACCTCTCGGAAGCTTCCTCGTACATATGTTATCTATGATCAGCTTTCCAAAGTGCCAAACAGAAGGCATGGGGGAAGCGGGAGGACAGACAACATGCAAGCACACCAACAAAAGGATGCCAAGACCAGGCAGACAAGAAAAGCATCAAGGCATGCGAAAACCAAGTTAGCAAAAGGACACCAAGGCATGGGCTGGAGGGCATGGGGGAGGCGGGCGGGCAGACAACATGCAACCACACGAAACAGGCAAACCAGAAAAAAATATGAGTCCCAAAAAATTCCGAAGACCGAAAAAATAAAAGTTGATGATGATAGATTGTTCCGTCGACGTGGCACCGACTCATCAGGAGTCTGAACCCTCGACAATCTGTGGAATCTCCATATTCGATGGTTCGGGTCACGAACCCTTCAACCCTTGTTGAAGGCAGACTGTCCCCAAGCGGAACATAGCGGCGGGAAGCAACCCTGCGGAGCACCAGGAAACGCAGTAGAGGCAACACGGCTGCACAATGCCAAAAACGACTGCAAGGAACGACACGGCAAGCATAAGACGGGTGAACAGCACAACACCCGCGTAGCGAAGCACAAGGCAACACGAGAAAGGCAACACAAGCAAGGCAACCACTTTGCAAGAGGCAACCGTGATCGGCAACCGTGCAGTGAGGCACAAGGCAAGAGCAACAAGGCGACCAACCTACCAGGCACACAAGCAGCAACCATGGAAGGCACAAGCAGTGGATGAGCAGCAAGGCAGTGGAGCAGGGAAGCACAAGGCAACACCAACAACGCAGCCACACCACACAGCGAACACAAACTTGCAGAGAACCACATGTGAAGCAAGCGGGACAGGCAGCGATACAGCGGCAGACCGCAGACAAGCCACACATCCAACACGGAGCAAAGCGGCATATGACTTACTCGCATCAAGATTGAACCCCACAGACTGTCGGTTCCCACCACCCACAGAGCCAGGGAGACACCCTGACGACCATCCGTCATCACCCACAGGGAACGCGGACATCCCGAACCGAATGGCCTCCCTAAGAGTGCAGTAGCCGCTCATCAGGACCCACGGACTGTTTGGCACTGCTAGAGGGTGCTCAGCTAGGGACACAAAAAGTACTTCGAAAATAATAGGAGAAAGGGAAAAAAAGTTAACAAACAGACATACCAAAAACTGATTGTGTGTGTGTGTGTGTGTGTGTAGCATGTGTACGTCACATGCGCTTCGCATGAGTACGACACGTCATACTCATGCTACTCCGACTGGGTTAACGTTGGCACACCGTGAGCATGATTCACAACGCGGAAGGCGATCTTCCAACGCGGTGGGGTAAAACCATCTCAAGGTTCGCATATGGCAAGGGCAACACTGGGGCCGTTCATCA